AAGGGCCAGAAGCATCTGGTATGGTTCCCTGTGTCAAATCTCGGTCCAGACAAGGCCATCATTTAGCTTGTAAGAGCCTCATCATCAAAAGATCACACCAATAATTTCTAAAAACCAACCACTGAGTTGGGGTTTATTAGAATAATTTGATGAATCATTTGCATGTCAACATTTAACTTGGTAAGCAGTTTTATAATATGTAATTGATGTATGTAGGAAATAAAAGCAAACATTTAGTTTTATTTTATGTACAAAAGTTATTTCGTTTTGTCTTCTATGTTAATTTGTATGAGCTTTGCTAAATACTTTGAATGGCATCCCTACCTCCACCCGACTTGAGCCACCCGGTTCATGGTCTTATCATTGACCCTGACGTTACCAATAACCACGCCCCTTCCACAATCTCAGTCTTTTGCATCTGACTCCCATGCCCCACCCTTCCAGCTCACTCCCGCCACCATCCCTTGACCCTCACCTTACATTTCCAGTACATTGATCCCACCACCTTTTCACTGTCCCCTTTACCAGCTTAGGGTCTGATCCATCTTCAGAATCACTGCCTTTCTCCCCTCACCTTCTTGCGTTCATCTCACTGACTCTCATCCTGGTTAAAGGCAACTCTCCAGCTAGACTGCAGCCACATAGTAAATGTGTTCAGAGAAAACCACAGAATCTCAAGAGGGACCTTCAAGCCACCAACACCCATACTTCATGTCTCAAGCCTGGCCCATTCCCTCTCCCACTCTCATGGAGAAAAATTTCACTTTCCACTTCCCTCAAATCTCCAACCCTTCCTCCCCTTCATCAACCTCAGTTGATGAGCATGCTTCCCATTTCATCAAGAAAAGCAACCAGAAGAGAAGTGTCACAAGCTCCCACCATGCCTACTCATCCCCTGCATCTGTACCCACAGGTGCCCCTTCCCTCCCGGTGCGGTGGACACACCATCGTCCATATAAGGCCAACCTTGCACTTGTGTCCCAGACCTCATCCCCTCTCACATTGCTCCTGCGTTGCCCCATCCCCTCCCTCAGTTATCAATTCTTCGCTCTCTACCAGAACATTCCCACCAGCATCATTCATGCCTTAACACTTCCCCCCAACACAGAGCAGCCAGCATAGTGGCAGACACCCCACTAGCACAGTGCAGGAGGGCCAAAGAAGGTTGAGAGAGGGACAGCAAAGGATATGATGGGGGCACAGGAAGGTAGACCAGCGTGTGCAAAGGCCCTGTGGTAGGAGCAAGCATGGCAGGAAGAACAGCAGAGATGACACATGCACCAAGAGGGAGGTGAGACCAGACAGAAGTCCGGGTCAGACCCTGTTAAAGATGTTGAGCTTTTCCCTAAGAGCATCGAGAAGCTGTTGAGTGTTTCAAACTGGATGTGGCTTGAACAGATTTGCATTTTCAAAGGTTCACTATGATTACTCTGTAGAGACGGATAACAGTGGGTACAAAATGACCAGTGGGGAGGCTACCACAGTCATCCAGGGAAGCAAGCACCCACCTGGCAGTGGGTGTCACTATTGTTGGAAAGGAATCGATGGGTTTGAGAGATACTGAGAGCAAATACAGACAGGACGTCGTGATGAATGGAGCCTGCAGGGAATAGGAGGAGATGTCGGCGATGATGGCGAGGCTCAGTTTTCACAAGGGAGCGATGAAGAGGCATTGGCTGACCTAGCTGGTGCCTCCAGAAGACCAGGCTTGAGGGACAGATCATGAGTTCCAGTCTGGACCTGCTGAGTGTACGGTGCTTTTAAAACATCCACCAGGAGACATCAAACAAGCAGCTGGATTCCCAGGTCCAGAGAGGTCTGGCTGCTGATTATTTGACACAGCCTCTCAACAAGCATCTCTGGAGTGCGTCTCCTGCGCTAGGCATCATGCTGGGACCCAACGGTCCAAGGCTGACGGAGGCACGGGCTGGGGCGGCGGGACAGCCAGGCTGCGTGGGGAAAAGGTGCAGGTGCGGTCCCCCAGCCTGAAGGGTGGGGCCCTTAGAAGATAGACGTGGGGGCTCCACCTGTGATCCCTTGGTTGGGGGTTGAACACTGATCCCAATCTTTTAGGAGCCTCGGGGCACGTCAGTACTGTTCTCCGCACCTCCCCTCCCGTACGGATTCCTCGTAAAGACGCCTGGCACCAAGTTGGCACTGACGAAATATTTGCCAGACTGAATTGAGAGAAAATGAAAGTGCTCTGCAAAGCGCTTTGTAAATACACTGATTTGTACTTTTAACAATGGGGAGGCTATGTTATCCTCTTAGCAGCGGGTACAAAGACTCTTCTCAGGAGAGAAGAGTGTGTGGCTGGATGGAGGATGAGCTAGTAGGGGGCGCGGGAGGCCTCCGGTTAATGCAGCAAGATGCCGAGAGCAGCGTGGGACGTGGTCAGGACAACAGAGGAGGGGGAGACAGCAAGGTATGGGGTGGGGAGGGTGCTGAGCAAGAGAAGAGATTGCCCACCACACTTAGAAGACACCTGCCCTGGTGGGAGCATCTGGAGTAAAACGCTGTGCTCTTCGGATCCTAAAAAGCTGCAGTGAAGCTACCCGAAGTTCCGTTATGCTCTGGGGAATTGTTTTTCTTGCAAAAGTTGGGAAAGGAAGCGAATTTGGTACAGAGACAGTTAAGGGGGGGTTGGAGAGTACGGATCAACCATCTTCTCTGTAATATGTAGTATAGAATTACCTACATAACACGATAACAGCAAGAAATACCTAAAGTACCTAGTTATATAAGCACACCTGTATCCTATGTATACAGCTATATGTGGTATGCACAGGTCTGTGTACTAATGCCTTAAAATTCCTAAATGATTTCTATAGTACATGATAAAACCTACTCCATGGGCTACAAAGGCTCAGGATCCTATAAGAAAAGAAATTGCTCCTTCGGGTGAGGGCGGGGGCGTTAAGATCCGCGCCAGAGGGCTGGAAGTCGTTCCTGAAAATGAGAGGTCTGTGGCTTTCGGGCACTCCGGAGAGGAACTTCCCTGGAGGTGCAGTGGTTAAGAATCCGCCTGCCAATGCAGGGAACATGGGTTCGAGCCCTGGTCCAGGAAGATCCCACATGCCGCGGAGCAACTAAGCCCGTGTGCCACAACTACTGAGCCCGCGAGCCACAGCTACTGAAGCCCGCGCACCTAGAGCCCATGCTCCGCAACAAGAGAAGCCACCACAATGAAAAGCCCGCGCACCGCAATGAAGAGTAGCCCCCGCTCGCCGCAACTAGAGAAAGCCTGCACGCAGCAACGAAGACCCAACGTAGCCAAAAATAAATAAATAAATAAAATTGAAAATAATAATAATAAAACTTCTTTATACAATGGAATACTACTCAGCCATAAAAAAGAATGAAATAATGCCATTTGCAGCAACATGGATGGACCGAGAGATTATCATACTAAGTGAAGGAAGTCAGAAAGAAAGCCAAATACCGTATGATATCACTTATATGTGGAATCTAAAATATCACATAAATGAACTTATCCACAAAGTAGAAACAGACCCACAGACGTAGAGAACAGATTTGTGGTTGCCAAGGGGGAGGGTGTATGGGGGAGGGATGGAATTAGCAGATGCAAACTATTATATATAGAATGGATGGACAACAAGGTCTGTATAGCACATGGAACTATATTCAATATCCTGTAATAAGAAAAGAAATTGCTAACACGTATTGGGGACTGTATTAATCAGGTTACATTAGCTACCATCACAGGAAAATCCTGAATGTCAGGGGCTAAATGTAGTCAAGGTTCATATCTCTCTCACGTCAATACTCCCAGCACATTTACTAACGTGCCAGGTACTGCCCTGAGCGCTTTAGACATGTCAACTCGTGTAATCCCCATGACAATTGTGAAGGAAGAATTGCTCTGATCTCCACTTTCCTCTGAGAAAACTGAGGTGTGGCGTCTCCGTGAAGCTGAGTCAGACCCAAGGCCAGGGCAGTCCAGCCGCAAAGCCTGCCTCTCACCCGCGGTTGCCATATCTCCCTGCACAGCTTCGAGGGTTCAGTCATTCAGAGAAATTTAAGTGTCTATGCTGGTGTTGGGGATACAATGCAAATAAAACAGACAAAGTCTCTGGTGTCATGAAGCAGCCATGCTTGTAATTCTAGTCTCCACATGAGTTTTTATGAAGATCGCATTCAATAGTTCACTCATTCATTTTGTGATCACTGCTGGGGGCCCGCTGGACACTGGGCTAGGGGTTTTCATCTGAGCCAGCTCTCACTTTCTCAGCAATCACCAAGGAAATGTTTAGAACCGAAAGGTCTTTGTTTGAGCCCTTATTCCATCATTTCCTGGCCATGAGTACTTATTCAGTCGTTTAGCCTCCCTGAGCTTCAGTTTCTTCATCTGTGAAATGGGGATGCTAATACTCCTCTCACAGGTTGGGTCCTAGTCCAAGAGCCTGGTAGAGGGCCCAGCCCCCTTGGGGAGCTCAACCCTAGGGGTATTTCAGAACTTTCAGGGGCTCCATATAGTGAATTCTATGTAACTGCCAGTGAGAAAATGCTTTGCAATCTCATCTAAAGGTCTGTGGGAATGTTCTCCAGCCCCGTCTGGGGTCGGCCTTCTTTGGAAAGCGATCTGCTTTCTCGCGTGTAAGATGCGAGGTGACTCCCAGCCGGGCTGGGGCGCAGAGGCAGGTGTATTGACATTCACCAGCTTCCTCCGTGGCAGTCCCCAGCACAGATTCAAACCTCCACTGCCCGCCACGCCTCAGCTAATCCTCAGAAGCCTCGATGCAGAGATGGAAGGCTGGGTTTTGAAGTCTTAAGCCTTAGATCCTCTCCACAGCACCGCGGGTGTGTGTGTTTTGATTCACCAGACAGATGTCCAAACAGACAAAGCGATACCTTCCTCCGGGGATGAGGGAGAGGGCTGAGCCAGTTTCAGAAGAGCGAGAAGTCTGGAAGAGGCCGGTGGGCTCTGAATCCCCGGAGCCTAGGATGTCTTACGAGCTCTTTCTTCCCTTGTTTTCCAGGGAACTTCAAAGGTCTCTGCAAGCAAATTGATCACTTCCCAGAGGATGCAGATTACGAAGCTGACACAGCAGAATATTTCCTCCGTGAGTGCATGCAATTTTTTTTTAATCTCCTTCCTCGTGGTGGGTCCTGCCCTTCCATCCTTCGAGAGTCAAAGGCCAGGACTATCTAGAGGTCCCTGTCACCACAGAGGGCAGGAAAAAGCTAAGCCTCCCTCCTCGCCTCCTGCCCAGTGGCCAAATCTTCATGCATGCCGTTTCCCTCTGCCTGCAACGCCCTTCTCTCCCCTCTTTGTCGGAAAGTTCCTACTCATCTTCCAGGTTTCAGCTGAAACATCACCTCCTCCAAGAAGTCCTCCATGCCCTCGAAGGGGTTCCCAGAGCCTAGCACCTTTATCACGCTGTGGGGTCCTTGTCTATTTGAGCAACCAGCTCCCTCGCAGTGCTGCCAACTCCACTAGGACTCTGATAGACTCTACCTATCTCGTTCATGATTGTATTCCCAGCCCAGGGCCCAGCATGTAAAAAGCACTCAGTAGCTATTTCTTGAATAACCCAATGAAGAAACTTATCAGGCGGTGCCAGACTGGAACTTCTACTGAAACAATGAGATTTTTTTCTTTCCCCACAAGTCAAGTCAAAGTTAAATCCTGATGTAATAGCTGTGATCTTAAATCCACCTGAGACATATTATCAAGAGAAAGTATTTTGAGACCCAAAGGAAATCTCTCAAGAATCAGCAAAAACTAACAAGGCAAAATGTTCTGGGAGAAAAGGATTTCCAGGAGATGGGCTAAGGGTCCTTGATACCTGGTACAGCAAAGCCGCCCCGAGCAGAAGTGGTTGAAAGCTCTGCTCCAGGCTCTCAGGCAGCACTTCCTGAGGGAGTTTACTCTCCTCCCAGGAGCATTGCCCGTCCCCTTCTGCTCCCAGGTGCCCTTCCCGGGCCAAAGCCTCCCTCCCATCCCCCCACAGCATCGGTTAGTATTACCCTTGGATCACTTTTATGAAAAATATAGGGGGCATTTTATTATATGGATCACCCCTGTCGCTTTCAATAATTACCCCTCACATCAGACCCAACTCTCAGATCAGCCTGAAATCTGGGTTTCACTGCAAGCCCATGGAGCACGAAGCCAGCCAGGCGGCTGGGAAGAGAAGGGAAAGAAACATCACGTCATTTATAGCTTTCTTTTTAAAGGGGGGAAATATCTTACAAAGCTCATCCTTTCCCTTTATGAATTCCTGCATAGATGCTGCTCTTAGATGGAATTCCTAAAGGGTCATTTGGTGGTCATCCCCATGACCAGGTCTGGGGCTCTCAAAGGAGCCTGGTGGTGGCATTAAGGCAGACTGAGCACCTTCTGTATGTCAGAGGCCGTACTCAGCGCTGTGGCGGTCCAGAGGAATGAGTAAGACACAGTCCGTGGCTGCAGGTAGAGCACAGCCTGGCGGGAGGACCCTCTGAGAACAGCTGGACTTGGGATGCAGGGGCCGGCAGAGACACACCCGAGGGCAGAGGTGGAAGGAGGGGCACAGCAGAGCCCGCACCCAAGCTGCACTGGCTGAACACAGTGAGGGTGTGATGCTTTACCATCCAGATGCCAAGTGCTTGTTGGGACAGGACCCTTGTCTCATTCTTTGCTCTGTCTAGAACAGCTCTTGGAATATAGTAGGTTCTCAATAAATGCTATTTGTTAAACAAAAGAAAGATATAGGATTCTTCAGTGGCTATTCCTACCTATCCTATACCTCCATTGCCCTAATTTTAAAGAGAGAATTGCTTAGAGTGTGTGGTTCATTTTGGTGTCTCTGGACAGAAGACTTGAACGTACATTAGCAGCACAGGTTTCCGAGGGTCTGACTTGAATTGACTTAATCCAACCATATTTTTTGAGCATCTGTAACAGAGATTGGCACACTTTTTCTGTAAAGGGACAGATAGTAAATATGCCAGGCTTTGTGGGCCATACAGTCTCTGTCCCAACTACTCATAGCTGACCTTGCAGCACAAAAGCAAATACAGGAGCACACGAGCGCGGCTGTGCTTGCTCCATTGAAACTTAACTTCATTTACAAAAACAGGCAGCAGGCCTCACCTGGCAGAGTTTGCTGACTTGATCTGTAATATGCCAGTCTGGGGCTAGACAACAAAAGTGACTTTTTAAAGCCGGAAGATGTGAGTTCCCATCATCCTCCATTAAGCTCTAACCTGATTGGCTAGAGAAGCTAGAAGACAGAGGTCGTTCTTCTAGGAGGATCCCTGGCCCAATGAGGTGGGCGGAGCTTCTCCTGGAGATGGGCGTGCCTTTGGCGAGGGAGGTGGGTGGAGCTGCACCCGGGTGGGCGGGGCCTGAGTCAGCTTCCGGTTCTGGTCTGTTAAACCTACAGCACACCTGCCACGAAGGCTGGACAGACCCATGAACCTAACAGAGACGCCTCAGGCAGGGATAGAAGGCAGTGTGGGGTGCTGAGGGAGCCTGGCCCCAACCCAGACTGGAGGTGATCATTCCAGAAGGGTTCCCTAAGGAAGGTGGCACCCTAAGGAAGGAATGCAGAGACTTGGATTCTAGAAGCATTCATTCTTTCATTCGTTCACTCAGGAGACATTCACTACCACTCACCATGTACAGGACACTGTTGATGGTATGGGGACCCAAAGGTGAACAAAACAAAGAAAGTCAGAGCCTTTGTGAGAGTTACATTGTGGTGAAGGAAAGAAGCAAAAAGCAAGGAACCTGTTACAATCATCCAGACAAGAGACGACAGCAGGTTGAACCAAGGTGGTGGCAGTGAAGGAGGTGGGAAGGGGTCAGAGCCTGAAAGTATTCCCAAGGGTATGCATACAGGATTTTCTGAAAGGCGGCATGTGGATTTCCAGGGACAGGAAGGAATCAAGGATGACTCCAAGGTGTGTGTCCGTGGAGGGGGCAGGTTAGGATGGGGAAGGATGGAAGCTCAGGACCGGCCACATTAAGTTACAGAGGCCCACGGGGAGGGGTCCTGGCCCGAGACAGGAGTCTAAGAGCTGTCAGCATGGGGATGATATTTCGAGCCGTGAGACTCGATGAAGGCCCCAAGGGAGTGGTGCAGAGAGAGAAGAGGTGCAGGAACTAAGCCTCAGACTCCGAGGCTTAGAGGCAGAGGAGGAGGCCCCGGGGAGGAAGATGAGGAGGGGTGGCCAGCGAGGGGGCCTGGTTAACCCCTGCCATCCACGATCCACCAGCTGGATGTGGGATCTGGAGCAGAGAGGGAGGAGGGAGAATGCTCGGAGGGCGTGGCTGGCCAGGAGCGCAGAGCTTATCTCCTGGGCTGGCAGAGAAAGTGGGGCTCACTTGCTCTCAAGCCAGCAGGCCAAACTTCAGGCAAGTCCAGTGCCTCTTGGAGGATGGGGCAGAAGGAAGGCGCCGAATTAACATCTGATGGGACAAATGAATGACTGAATGAATGCACTCAAAATCCACTGTAGTGTGGCCCCTAACTGCAGGGTGGGGTGAAGCTCTCCCAGCAACGGCTACTGTCCCTGACACACTCTGCCCAGGGGGAGGGGAGGGGTTGGCCCCCATAGGTCGCACGTTCATGTACACACACACACACACACACACACACACACACACACACACACACACACCAGAGCTGCAGTATCAGGGCCTTGCCATGCCAACTACTCTTTTTCCAAAGCCAGAGGTGGACAGAAGGGGGAAAGGAGGGAGGGCTCTGGACAGGGCCTATTCCTCCCCCTCAGGAGACATCTCACCTGATTACGCTTGAACTGGGAGCTGACATCTTCCCAGAGTCACTAACCCCCTGAGATCAAGAACAGGCAGGAGGAGAGTTCCCTGGGGGCAGCCGTGGGTCAGGAGCGGACACCTGTAAGGGAGACAGAGGGGCCATTTGTAAGGGAGGTGGAAAGCGGCCAAGGCAGGTAGGACCTTGAGGATTATTTGGGGGTAAATTTACAGAACTTTACCACCAGTAGGAGACAGGAGAATGTGACGGCGGGCTTTAGCACACACTGCCTGGGTTCAAATCCAGCTCTGCCACTTCTCAATTAACTCCCCCGGTACCGAGACTCCTCCCGATGGGATGTTCATCTGTATGCTCGCAGGGTTGTAATGAGGCTTGAGTGAGTCAGTATAAGACAGCCCTTCCCTCCAGCCCAGAGCACAGTAAGCATTCAGGAGGCGTTAGCCATTATTGTCGGTATGTTACACAGTGAAAAGTAGGAAGGATAAAGATTAAGGAGAGAGGGAGTGCGAGAGTTTTCAGTACAGTGGTCAGAGAGGTCCACTGGGGAGGTAACGTTTGAACAGAGACCTGAAGGCAGTGAGGGAGCGTGTCTGGTCCTGCAGATGCCCTGAGAAGAGGGTTCCAGGCAGAGGGAACAGCCAGTACAAAGTGTCTGAGGCTGGCATGCAGCGAGGCAGAGGGTGTGAGCAGTGGGTGGGAAGCCAGGCCAGGACTTGTGGGTGTCGGCTTTACTCTGAGACTGGAGCACGAAAAGGTTCTGAGCAGAGAGGTGAGGACTGACATCCATGCTAACAGCACCGCTCTGCTTCTGCTATATGGGGTCTGACTATGGGGTCCCAGCAGAAACAGAGGGACCAGTAGGAGGTGACGGCCAGAATCCAGGCTCGAAACACAGGTGCTCAGACCAGGGTGGAAGTCTGGGAGGTAGATGAGAAGGGGGCGGGTTGTGAGGCCGGAAGGTGTTACTGACAGCCTGCACGGGGGGAGGTGAGAGAAAGAGGACACAAGATGACACCTAGGGGGGCTTCTCTGGTGGTGCAGTGTTTGAGAGTCCTGGGAGACAGTGGGCAGTGCTACCCTTCTCTGAGGCTGGGAATGTCGAGAAGGCTGGGTCGCAGGGAGGTGACCACTCTGTTTTCCAGCCTGCATGTTATGACTTCTGTTACAGACTCTTCTTTCCCACTGGGTGGTGAACAGCTTGAGGACACTGCAGGGAGTAGCTGCAGATAGGGAGTCTGCTCCCAGCCCAGCCAGCACAGGGCCTGCCCCCACTCAGGCCCGGGAGCTGTTTGCTGAGTGAATGAGTGAGGGACCACCCTCGCTAGAGCCACCTG